TCTTCTTCGTCAATGGTCGGGATGTGTTGTTGATGGAAAAAGGCCCCTTGATTTTGTTGCAATAGTTGTTGTAATTGCTCATTGGACATTGCATCCCCATATCTTTGGTTATAATCCGCATCAAAATCATCTCGGGTTTGAGATAAAGACCCGACCCGTCCTTTACCTTTGCGTGAGATTGGATGATTCCTCGCAATCTCCTTTGTTCGGTTGCGGCCGAGGTTACCCATATCTATAGAAGCTCTAGCACGTTCCATGTTAAAAATATAACAAATATTAAATTCGAAATACAATTAAACTAGTGAATTTGAAATACAAATCTAACAATTCGAAATACAATTAAATTCGAAGTATGCAACTACAATGTAATAAAATTAACTAGAATGTAACAATTAAATTCCAACTATGCAACTACTTTGTTAACAAATAATTAAATTAACAAGTTTAATTAGAATGTAGAATTTAAATATGCAACTACAATGTAATAAAATTAACTAGAATTAAATTAAATTACAAGTTTAACAAATAATTAAATTAACAAGTTCACAAATAATTAAATTCGAACAATTAAATTAACTAGAATGTAACAATGCAATAAAATTCGAACTATTTGTTAACAAATACGGAGTAATAAATAAATAAATAAACATTTAACAAGTTTAAATACTTTTATTATAAAATTCGAACAACTTTAATACAATTAACAATTAACTAGTTTTAAAGGAGAATAATAAATGTAACAATTAACTAGTTTGATAGGAGAATAATAAATGTAACAATGCAATAAAATTTATTGGAGAATAATAAATGTAACAATTAACTAGTTTGATAGGAGAATAATAAATGTAAAAATGCAATAAAATTTATAGGAGAATAATAAATGTAACAATTAACTAGTTTTATAGGAGAATAAGAAATGTAACAATTAATTACGATTATAGGAGAATAATATATGTAACAATTAACTAGTTTTATAGGAGAATAAGAAATGTAACAATTAACTAGTATTATAGGAGATTAAGAAATGTAACAATTAACTAGTTTAACAAGTAAACAATTAATTTTGAATTATTGTCTAACAATTTTTAATGTAACTATTTCAAATAAACTAACAACTAACAATTAACTACTTTTATAGCAATGAACTAATACTAAAATGATAAGTAAAACAATTAACTACTTTTATATTAATAAAGAATGTATGAGTGTGTAAACAAAATTAATGGGAGTGTGAGAGTGTATAAGCAATTGGATAAGTATATAATAAGTGTTTAAGTAGATATAGTTAATATATATATATATATATATATATATATATATATATATATAAGTAGATAATAAGTAATATATAAAATTATGTTTATAGTATATATAATATAAGTATATTACTATAAGATGAGTAATACACTTATATATAATACTTTAATATATATAAGTATATATTTAGTATATGTAATATGTAAATATAAGTAAAAAAATTAGAGATAATTATATATGTAATATGTAAATATAAGTAAATAAATATAAGTAAGAATAATATAATAATTAGATATTAATATAAGTAGATAATAAGTAGATAATAAATTTTATAAATATAACATATGTAGTTATAAATTTGAGAAGATGAAGATGGAGAAGATTAGTAGAGAATAGAGATTAGAGAGTAGGAATTTTTGGAGAAGATGTGTAGTAAGTTGTATAGAAAAAATGGAGTATTTATAGATTTTTAGTACCCCACCCCCCACCCCACCCCCACCCCGGGACCCCCTGCCAGGCTCCCAACGGCTATAGAGCCATTTGGGTTCAAATGCAACGGCTCTAAGGCCTGTTTGGCTGGCCAAACAAAAAATAAAATAAAAAAAATAGCTGTTAGGCCCGGACCGGGACCGAACTGGACGGGCCGGGCCTCCTAATTGATGAACCGCCCCCGAACCGCCCTACTCCCCCGGGCTGGCTCAAAGCCCGCACCGGTTATTAGATACTCGGGCCGGGCCGGTTCCGGTTCCGGGCCGGGCCGGGCCGGTTGAGTCCACCCCAACTTGCACATTTAAGAGTCATATATCAAGAATTAGAATTTTTAAATGGTTCGTACTTCGTAGCGAGTAAATCAAGGTGAAGGAGAAAGAGGGAGGGAAGCCCATCTCTTGCGCCGACCTAAGCTATACAGGGCATCTCATTACATAAAGCCATAAAGGTCTGCATATTAATTAGTTTAAGATGCCTTGGGATGGATTCTTCAGAGAGCCAAAGGTCTCTGCTAATATGAGAGTTTTCTTCAGAAGTCGAAGGTCTGCTGCTGCGATGGAAGAGGGAAGGGCACGCGAGGGAACCACAGCGTACACACAGCTTTTTGACAGATTGAAAAAGCTGAATTTGGTCAAACCCGCCAATATTTGGCTGAAACGCCATTTACCAATGGGCCTGTTTGGCAATCGGGGGTTAGCGGATTGAGTCAGCGGGTTCTAAACAGCGTATTGAGTCGGCGGGTTTGACCGGTGGATCCGTTTGGCGGATTACAGAAATATGTTTGATAACTTAGCTGTTTGCTTTTAACGGTTAATAGATAAAAAGACAAAAAAGGACATTAACACATTTAAATATTTCTTTTTTTGTTTGTTTAATACTGCGTGTGATGTTAGCACAAAAAAACATATACGAATCATATACATAATTTTTATTTAAGAAGAAACAAAAAAAAACAGGGTATAAAATAAAAACCAAAAGCATGAGCAACCACAACTATAACCAAGGACTCAAAAATCATCATTCTTTCACTATTCCCTATATGCTCTTTGTTTTGAACTGCATTTAATTCATACTACATAATAAAATAAAATATGGAATTGAAGGTGTGAGAAAAGAAAATGATTTTTAGTATGCAATATACACATATAGCTTTGTGGCAATCATGACCAACTTAGTTGCCCATACCCACTTTTGTTTTTGAAATCGTGGCATAAATAGGGAACGTTTCTAGCTAAATACCTACCTGACCTGGTGATTCTTTTCTTTAGAGAGGCGAAGAAGGCCTTGCGAGAGGGAAAGGTCTACGTGACGACTTTTGCTTGGGAGTGTGAGTATGGAAGAAGAAGAATACAGAAGGGTACAGTGAGAATTGATAATTTATCCCTAATCGCTGATCCCTAAACGCTCCACTTATTAGCGTTTTAATTTTCAGGGGTTTGGGCCAAAACGCCAAAGTAACCCGCCATTTCCCAAACACCTATTTTCAATGGTTTGAACAGTTAAAACGTCATTTTTAGTCAAATCTGCCAAAATTTGGCTAAAACGCCATTTATCAAACATGACAATTGTGTGGTGGAGAGTTGTGCAGAGAAGAGAGAAATGTATAAAAAAATGTTGTGAATCACAAAATCTTTGTCAAAAAGGGAAAGTGAAAGTTTAATTTGATACGAACGAAAAAGAAATTTGGAAGTTTATTTAGGGACGGAGGAAGTAATAAATATTTAGATTTGGCATCTTACTTTCAAAAAAAAGGAAAAATTGAAAATAACAATCACAACTATTACCGGTCCGCTAACAATAATTCCAACTATTATATGCGAATCGCCAATAATTGAGATTATTTTTTTTGGAAAGAAATCAACTCAACTTGCATTAGTCATATCAAAGGACAAAGCTTCAACAATACAAGAAGGGGGAATACCCATCCAAAATTGACAATCAGACATAGAACTAGCTGCTCTAGCCAACTCATGAGCCACTATGTTTGCTGATCGTTTAACAAAAGAGAAAGAAATATTAGCAAAACCTTTACTAATAAGTCTAATATCCTCTACTATAATACCAATCGCAGACAAACTGGAACCGTTTTGAATTTCAGAAATAGCAAGCAAAGCATCAGATTCCACCTCCACGAAGTCCCCGCCCTGGTCTTTAATCCAACTCAAGACCTCCCGAATGCTTAGCAATTCAGCTTCAAGAGAAAAGCAGCTGCCCCGCCCACTTTTAATGCCTCCCGAAGTAATAAATATTTAGATTTGGCATCTTACTTTCACAAAAAAAAGGAAAAATTGAAAATAACAATCACAACTATTACCGGTCCGCTAACAATAATTCCAACTATTATATGCGAATCGCCAATAATTGAGATTATTATTATTTTTTTGAAAGAAATCAACTCAACTTGCATTAGTCAGATCAAAGGACAAAGCTTCAACAATACAAGAAGGGGGAATACCCATCCAAAATTGACAATCAGACATAGAACTAGCTGCTCTAGCCAACTATGAGCCACTATGTTCGCTGATCGTTTAACAAAAGAGAAAAAAATATTAGCAAAACCTTTACTAATAAGTCTAATATCCTCTACTATAATACCAATCGCAGACAAACTGGAACCGTTTTGAATTTCAGAAATAGCAAGCAAAGCATCAGATTCCACCTCCACGAAGTCCCAACCCTGGTCTTTAATCCAACTCAAGGCCTCCCGAATGCTTAGCAATTCAGCTTCAAGAGAAAAGCAGCTGCCCCGCCCACTTTTAATGCCTCCCGAAGTAATAAATATTTAGATTTGGCATCTTACTTTTAAAAGAAAGGAAAAATTGAAAATAACAATCACAACTATTACCGGTCCGCTAACAATAATTCCAACTATTATATGCGAATCGCCAATAATTGAGATTATTTTTTTTTTTGAAAGAAATCAACTCAACTTGCATTAGTCAGATCAAAGGACAAAGCTTCAACAATACAAGAAGGGGGAATACCCATCCAAAATTGACAATCAGACATAGAACTAGCTGCTCTAGCCAACTCATGAGCCACTATGTTCGCTGATCGTTTAACAAAAGAGAAAGAAATATTAGCAAAACCTTTACTAATAAGTCTAATATCCTCTACTATAATACCAATCGCGGACAAACTGGAATCGTTTTGAATTTCAGAAATAGCAAGCAAAGCATCAGATTCCACCTCCACGAAGTCCCAGCCCTTGTCTTTAATCCAACTCAAGGCCTCCCGAATGCTTAGCAATTCAGCTTCAAGAGAAAAGCAGCTGCCCCGCCCACTTTTAATGCCTCCCCCAACGAAATCCCCGCTGCTGTTGCGAACAGCCCACCCGAACCAGCTGCCCGTATGGTCCCTCACTGCATCCACATTCATTTTACACCATCCAGGCTTTGGTAATCGCCAAACCTGAGCTCCTAAAGCTGTCACCTTGGCCTGGTCCTTCTGCTGCGCAAATAGCCAACCATCAACAAAGCAACTTGCACTAAACATAACTTGGGAAGCATTCAAAGTTTTGTTTTGCCAAACCCGTCTGTTTCTTTCCTCCCATAAGCCCCAGCAGCCCCAAACAACTTTCTCTAACTCAGGTTTCTTCTTGGTTTGGAAAATCAGCTCCAGACAATGCAAAAAGCTTCCACCTGCCGCACCATTGACATCCCACCCAATTGCTTTCCAACCTTCGATCGCTACCGGACAGCGGACAAAAAGATGCAACACCGACTCATCATCCTTTCCACAAAGCCCACAAACCTCTTGGCAATTCACCATCCGGCTGCGCAAATTCTTCGTAGTGGGCAAACAATCTGAACAAAGTTGCCAAAAAAAAGATTTAATTTTTGGCGGCAGCCTACAATTCCACATCTCCGTCCAGCCAACCCACCCTTCGACCTGAATATCTCTAGCTAATCGACGATAACAACTACGGACAGAAAATCTGCCGCTCGCCTCCCAACGCCACACCTTTCTAAAAACTTGTGTCACCCTCTTACGGGACATTTAAAAGGGGACGGAGGGAGTATTCATTTCTAGTAATGTTGTGTACATGACTTTTTGTTGTATCATGTTTGTGCAATTTTACAACTTAATTAATATAGCTTAAATCTTAGCTCTCAAGGTTCAACTATAAATTAAATAAGAACTACAGAGTAACATAGAACGAAGAAGAAGAACGTTGAAGATTTCTAATATATTATATTCTTTTTTATATTTTCACATGAATTTAGGTAAATTAAAGATGATATTTATTTCGTGCGTCATCGTTTTGCTATACTTTTTCTTAGTTGTGTTGCACTATTTGTGTAGTTGTGAGTTTTAGTACTACGTATGCAATTTCTTGTATTTATATCAACATTTCATGTGAGTTGGTTGGTGTGATGATATATACTAATTGTAAGATTTATTCAAAAAATTTAGCATGTGTTTGGCATTGTACCGTACCATTTTGTACCGTTCCGAAGCAAAATTGTACCGAACGGTTCCATCCTTGGAACCGTACCATACCGGACCGTTAAAAACCTCACAGATACATTACGAGTTTTACCAATTTACCGGACCGTTCTGGACCGCGCCCACCCCTAATAAATATCATTAATGTAACTATGTAAGGGGAGGAGCAGGAATCGAACCATCTAAAATACTCAAAAAATATGAGACACGAGAAATGACTCAAACTGAGTACGCCACGATAAATTAATTAAACCATAAATATTAAATGTCAATATCTTGTAAATCATAATAAATCTAGTATCAAACATTAATTTTCCAGAATTAAAAATTAAGAACTAAAAAAATATTGTACTTAATAATTACGGAGTATTAAATAAAGTAGCAAGTTTTACAAAGTTCGACTTGTTCGGTTCGGTTCGTTTTTGAGATGTGAAAACAAAAACCGAAACCAAACAACTTCGATTCGGATCTGTTTATTGAGTTCGATTTTGGTTTTCTTGCGATTCCATTATTTTGGTTGCGGTTAGAATTTTTTCCATTCGGTTATAGATTTTAGATTTTGCCAAGCCACCTTACTAAAACCTTTGAGACGGAGGATGAGCAGATCGTAATATCGAAGAGTAGGAAAGCACTGATAAACCTAGACAAGTAGTGAGTAAAGAGGCCCAATACATCCCCGCCATCGTATTAAATCAACCGCCACGGACGATGAGCAGATCACCTGAAAACATGGCGGAAGCTTCTTCGGATAATCAAACACAGCTTTCGTTTCTTCCCCAAGACATCCTTTTCCAGATTCTGGTACGACTTGGCGCAAGATCTCGGGGAAAGCTAAGTTGCGTTTCTAAATGCTTCCGTTCCATATTGACCGATCCAAGCTTCCTCGAATTTCAGCGAAATTGGTCGGCGCCCCCTACCCGCGGCACAACCATTCTCTTCTCTATTTGGCATATGTTTAAAAGGGGTGATTATCACCCAATCGGGTGTCCCATGACCGATCCCACTTCCACGCCAGAGCAGTTTTACACCATAAATTATGAAGAAAATCAGGCGGGAAAGCTCCTTCAAGCAAAACGTGTTAGGCATCTGGACAGAGGATGGTTTGGAGACAGAAGAGCTGTGTCTTTTGCAAAAGATCGAGTATGTTTCTTCACCCAGCATTCGGAATTGATGGTTTTTGACCTTGCCTCAGGACAACATACTTCTCTCCCGAAAACTCCCAGCAGCAGATTTACTTGTGCACTCTTGGGTTATGATGGCGTTTCGGGGACATACAAGGTTTTGAAGGCGGAAAATAAGTATTCCTGGGGGGCAGTGACAGTGCCAATGAAGTACTGGGTGTTCACACTGGGTGTGGATGAAGAGTGGCGGGAGATCAAGACCCCTGAATTGTTTTACCTTGGCGGACGTTTCATCAATAGCGTTTGCATTGACAGCGTGATCTATTCCGACAATGTGCTCTATGACGGCACGTGGACTACATTGGGAAGATGCACTGAGCTGGTGGCATTTGATGTCAGGTCGGAGAGTTTCCACCTGATACCTCTTCCTCCGGCAACACGTGGCGAAGATGTCAGAAAATCCTCGTTACTAGAACTCCATGGGCAGTTTGCTGTCATTCATGTCAATCAGAACAAGCAAATCATTGTTTGGACCTTGAAAACGGGAGTGAAATCGCCATCTCGCTGGAAGAAGCTTGTTGTCCCCTTTCCATCAGATGAAGAGATTCTGGAGGCAGGCAGTGAATTCTTTTCCAAGAATACTTGTATTACTGCTACTTCAGCCGGGGATATTGTATTGTTAATGCTGAATGGAATACCCTCACTTTGGGTTTTATCGAATAAGTTCGGGGTGGGCTCTGTTTGGAAGAAATTTCGAATTAAGGGGATTGCTGAATGCTCTACGTGTGTTAAAATATCATCTGAAGTACTGGTTGCACAAAACATTGCAGAGAATCTCTTTCACTTGGAATAAGCAAACGCCATACTAGTCTGATCTTCTAAGTATATTTAAATCTAAGAAGAGTTCTGTCTTCTTTCACTTTTCTATACTTTTGGAGTTTTTTTTGAATGAGTTTTGGCCTGTATTAGAACATTTTAGAGTACCAGCGATGAATACACGGTGTTTCAGTTCATGTCCTCTCCCTGTCTTTAGGTTTTGTCTAATTGTTATTATGCTACTTGTTCAATTCGTAAAGTTCAGTTTTTTATTGTTGAGTTCTTCTTTTAGCAATTGGCTTGATTTTTGCTCCTTATGTAGTGTTCTTATGAGGTAAGTAAATGTTTGGTTCTATGTTGAGTAAATGTGTTTTTTTTTTGTGGTTGGACTGGTTGCCTTAGTTTTGCAGAAGGCCAGTTGCATCTCACTCACATTAAGGAAGAAGGTTTGAATTGTCATCAGAGTAACTCAAGATTACTCTGGTTTTGATGACTACTGTGGGGTTACAAAGGTCTATAGAATTGTACCAGTGTGTTTTATCTTCACTAAAACTTACACTGGATAGTCTTACTCTACTCAATAAATGAGACCTATCAATTTTCATCTTAGATTTATATGCGTTCAGGATAAAGAAACTAAACATTTAGCAAAACTCCTTTCAAAATTCTACCCTATACATGGAGTTGCTGCAGTTGAGCTTTCTATGGTTGATTAACTTGTTTCCAGAGCAGTGATCTATAATTGGGTTATAGAATGTGATCCATACAGAGACTGTATCCTACTGAATTGATTGGTTGCTTAGGAAATACATACTACTAGAGTGTGGGTGAGTTATTTCTCAAACCTTATGATATTAAACTAATTTACTGAACTGGTTTACCCACTGTCCCTTGAATTTTTCAGCCAATTGTTCTTTCCCCCTGTTTTATCAAATTTGGTTACCAGCAGTTCTACAACTGCTCATTTAGCTTCAAATTTGCCGAACTCAACAAAGTAGAAATTCCCCCTAAAATAGCAGTGACTGTTGGTTGCATAATAAAATAGAAGTTTCCCTGAAATAGATAAGCAGCTTTAACCAATGCAGGTATTTATTAATCATCTTCACTAATTCAGCCAAATTAGTTGCATATTACAGGATCGAAAAATGTTAGACGTCCTTGGTTTTCAACCCTCTTTTATAGACTATTTGTTACTCTGTATATAACTTATAAGTTGTAATCCAGAAAGAAAAAAACAATATGGTGTTCACAGAAAAAAATGCATGTAAGCTTGTTAATATGCTTTATAAAAAGTATATTTTTTAAAATTAATTTACTCATATTACTCACAAAAAACAATATTAATGTCGCTCATTCGAAAATACGCGTTTTTGGAAAGTATTTTCAAAACAATACTCCGTATAAAATTCGACATAGGAGTAAGAATGGAGTTTCCAAAGTAATCAATTAATTGAGTAGTCTTATAATAACTACCTAATCAAACAAAAAATAGTTAATTGGTAAAGTTCACCCCATATATTTAACACAAATAAGCAAATACCCTATTTACATTAAATCAATCATTGCAGCCAACATATTACCAAACACTTTCAGTTCAACAGATTAAGCCTTTCAGTCCTTCCAGCCGTTCTAGCTGCTTCCAAACGGCCCTTGAATTGGTGCATTGTGACTTTGTATTTGTGGGTGATGCTTAAACACATTTTTACTTAGAAAAATAACTTTAAATATATCAACTATCATCCATAAACCAATAAGAATAGATACTTTAAAAACGATTTTTAATATGACCAACTATTTGAATGTAAAACAAAAATAACATGGAGACATTTTTTCACGAGAAATCCAGTCATTTAAGACATCAATAACTAATGGCAACTCATCAAATAAATGATACGTGAAAATACATTCATTGATTAGATATTTTGGTACAAGCTTTTGATGAGTTAAATGGTTGAATTTTAGTAAAAAAAAAATTTGTTCTAAGTCACTTTTGGTCTATATTAAAATAATTGGTATTATAAAAACTTATTTCAAATATACGTATAATCCTTGGTTCATGGAAGATTGCTTGTATTAGGAAATAGAGTCAAATAAATACATCTACTATTATCAATATATCACGTTGTACTTTGAAAAGTGTCAAACATCTATATACCCTCGACAAACAGTCAGCATGGGAATGGAGCCAAAGACTAACAATTTTTATGCCTTGGAAATATGATTGAATAAAGCAAAGTGGTTTACTAAACTCTCTGCGCTTCTTTGTTGCGAATAGTCAATTCATGCAACTTTGGACGCAATTTTCACAGTTTATCATGTGAAAACAATCTATGTGTGCGTACATCCAACTCCTTTAACCCATCGTAGGTGCGAGTTTTTGCGTCACCTACACAATCTATGTGTTCATTTTACATTCATTTTTCTGATTCTCTATCTTAAGGTTTTCCTATCTATTTTCTACTTGAAATTTATCTCTTGCTTCCTTTTGTTTTCTTATTTTTCTTTATCTCGTTCTCTATATCTTTCACCATGTTTCTCTTTCACTTTCTCTTTTTTCATCCTTACTTTTCCCCCTTTCTCTTTATCTCATTGGTCATCTACCCCTGCACAGGGCCGGTCCTGCCCAGTTTTGGGCCTATGGGCGATATACTATTTTGGCCTTATTTCCAAGACAAACAGTAAATTATACTCCATACTTACTTAAAGTAAAAATTACGGAGTATAATAAAACTAGGAGAAATTACTCTAAATACGACTAAAAACGTTTGTATATTCTAAACTAAGA